CAGCCAGAAACCACTTTAGGGCATAAGAGGCTTCCGAGCAGCAGCGTTCAGACATCAAATAAGGAAATCACATTACTTGGGTAGCCAAAGGGAACAGAGACGCCTTCTGCTGGTTGACGTCCCTTCCATCCCTCCCCTCCCTTTCCTTCCTTCCCCTCCCTTACCTACCCTTCTCTTAACTGGCGATAAATACCTTGTGTAGTGAGGGAACCATTGAGGAGGAAGGGCATAGGTAGGGAGAGATAGGAAGGGAGGGTATGGGTAGGGGAGGGGGAGGGTATGGGAGAGGTGGAGGGGTATGGGAGATGGAGGGAGGGTATGGGGGAGGTAGGAAGGAGGGTATAGGTTGGAGAGGAGGAAGGAGGTATAGATAGGAGAGATAGGAAGGGAGGTATAGGTTGGAGAGGCAGGAAGGGAGGGTATAGGTTGGAGGTAGGAAGGAGGGTATAGGTTGGAGAGGGTGGGAGGAGGGTATAGGGGGGTAGGAAGGGAGTATAGGTTGGAGGGTGGGAAGGGAGGGTATAGGTAGGAGATAGGAAGGAAGGGTATAGGTAGGGAGATAGGAAGGGAGGGTATAGGTGGGGGGAATGGGAAGGGAGGGTATAGGTAGGGGTAGGAGGAGGGGTATAGGTTGGAGAGGAGGTAGGAAGAGGGGAGTGGTGGGGAGAGATAGGAAGAGGAGGGTGGGTGGGGGAGATGGGAAGGGAGGGTATAGGTGGGGGAGGTGGGAAGGAGGGTATGGGTTGGAGGTAGGAAGGGAGGGTATAGGTTGGAGAGGTAGGAAGGGAGGGTATAGGTAGGGGAAGTGGGAAGGGGAGGGTATAGGTGGGGAGGTAGGAAGGGAGGTACAGGTGAGGAGAGGAGTTGGAAGGAGGGTATAGGTAGGAGATAGAGGAAGGGAGGGTATAGGTAGGAGGTAGGGAGGGAGGTATAGGTAGGAGAGTAGGAGAGAGTTACGGTGACTATGATGAAGTGTTGGAGGTGTTAGTGTTGGAGGTGTTAGTGTTGGAGGTGTTGATGTTGGAGGTGTTAGTGTTGAAGGGTGTTAGTGTTGGAGGTGTTAGTGTTGGAGGTGTTAGTGTTGGAGGAGTTAGTGTTGGAGGTGTTAGTGTTGGAGGGTGTTAGTGTTGGAGGTGTTAGTGTTGGAGGTGTTAGTGTTGGAGGTGTTGAGTGTTGGAGGGTGTTAGTGTTGGAGGTGTTAGTGTTGGAGGGGCTAGTGTTGGAGGGTGTTAGTGTTGGAGGTGTTAGTGTTGGAGGTGTTAGTGTTGGAGGTGTTAGTGTTGGAGGGTGTTAGTGTTGGAGAATTAGTGTTGGAGGGTGTTAGTGTTGGAGGTGTTAGTGTTGGAGGAATTAGTGTTGGAGGGTGTTAGTGTTGGAGGGTGTTAGTGTTGGAGGAGTTAGTGTTGGAGGGAGTTAGTGTTGGAGGGTGTTTAGTGTTGGAGGTGTTAGTGTTGGAGGTGCTAGTGTTGGAGGTGTTAGTGTTGGAGGGTTGTTAGTGTTGAGAGCATGAGCAGCGTAAGAAATGGTGTTAGTGGAGAGAGAGAGAGAGAGAGAGAGAGGTGGGTCACGCAGAGGTGTTGTCTGGTTGTGTGGGGGAGGAAGGGGGAAGGAATGAGGGAAGAAGTGAGGGTAAGGGGTGGCGGAAGAGGATTTAGGAAGGCGTCGTATAAAGTTCTCAGGCAGTAAGTTGACAATTTATGTGGTGTTCTTATTCCAGTCTTATTTTGATTCCCTTTTCTGGTCTCTTCTCTCTTTTTTTTTTCTCTCTCTCTTCTCTCTCTGAACTGAATTCTTTATTACAGTGTGTTTTCTCTATCTTACTTTTAACCATGTTAGAGCAATATATAACAACACCTTAGTATTAAGTAACAATAACCCACTACAACTTACACTTATCCTTCACTTATAATGTAAATCTCATTCCGCATATTATTAATTAAACCAGATTCTCCAATCATGGCAACCAAGAGGTCAGATTTCCTACCGATCGGTAGACTTGTACTCAGATCCGGTTAACTTTTCACCTGTACTAGATCCTAGGTCAGACTTTTCACCTGTACTCAGATCCTAGGTCAGACTTTTCACCTGTACTCAGATCCAAGGTCAGACTTTACACCTGTACTCAGATCCTAGGTCAGACTTTTCACCTGTACTCAGATCCTAGGTCAGACTTTTCACCTGTACTCAGATCCTAGGTCAGACTTTTCACCTGTACTCAGATCCTAGGTCAGACTTTTCACCTGTACTCAGATCCTAGGTCAGATTTTTCACCTGTACTCAGATCCTAACCTAACCTAACCTAACCTAACCTAACCTCTAGATAACTGTATATAAGTGTACCAATAATACACCACAAACGATCAACTGTGTTATAAGAAACCACCAAGAACATTACAGATCAATAACAAGGTAAGAACACGCAATAACATTACACAAAAAACATAAATATTTGTGGGTTTTTTTATCAATATTCTTCATTTAATAATTTATCATTTTAATC